GATTTGTTTTCTTGTCACTGAGGTCAACAGTGAAGAAACTCATTTTGTAATTCTTTTCCCCAGAGGTTGACAAGGTTACAAATGGCTCTTCAGAGCCCCTCCTCTTCTGGCCTCCCCACACGCTCTCCAGTCCCCAGTCAATAAAGACTCTCTGACCTTTTCAGGTACCAGTGCAGGATGTGCGGGTTGCTTTATCATAGCAGCTATAAAACAAAGAGGGAAAAGCTAAGCAAGCTAGAGGTCATTTTGAGAACTAAAAAATTTAAGATTTGTAACCTAGGTTATTAGTTTCAAAACCAAGGGATGAGAGTGGCAATGAAGAACTGTAAAAGCAAAACTCAGAACACAAAATCTCAATATCTGAGCTAGATCTCCTGTGCACCCTCCTCAACAGAGCTGGGTTTCCCCTACCCGGGAGATCAGTCCATTTGTCTTAACACGCCGCACCATCGGCTGGGTGCACTGTCAGGCAGGTCAGCCAATGCACTTGCCAGACTGGACTAGTTCCCCAAACCCAATGCATTCTCAAAGGAAGATGAACTGCCCTCAAGAAACAGCCAAAAGAGTTTGCCAAGAATATTTATCACTTTCAGCCGTCTTAGTTATCTGTGTAATCTGGACTAAATAATTTGAAACGATCAGGTTTCAGTCCTTTACATTTGTAAAAACGTGCTGAACTGACTGGCATCTTTGGTGACCACACTGCAGTGAAGTGAAGATCATGTGTCAGGGAAAGGATTTTCCTTTCTAAGTTAATTTTATCTTTCCCAGTTCTGCTTCTGTAATAATTATAACCCTTCCATGTCTGAAGTTTATATCAATCCAGGGAGGTAGTGAAGTACATATCTTACCATTTCTATGCCAAGGACTTAGAAAACAAATTTATGAGGAAGGCTAAGCCAGATAGCAAGGTAGAAAATAAATGGTCACATGTCTAATCATTGAATTCAGTGATTCATTAGGTTTGCTTTTACTTTATTCTATTTTTGTTTGCATACCAAAGTTCCTTTAGGGATTTGGACTCAGAGTGCAATGATCTCCCACTTCTCCTCACTGTGCCTTTGGGCCCCGTGGAGGAAGCATCATGAACTGAACTGTGCACCCCTCACAATGTATACGCTGAAACCCTAACCCCCACTGTGACTGTTTGGGAGACTGTTTAAGGAGGTAATTATGGTTAAATGAGATCATAAGGGTACCAATACCCTGAATCAGCCTCCAGCATTGTGAGAACGTAAGTTTCTGCTGTGTACTCCAGCCTGACTGGTCTTCCCTGAGGGAGCCCACACAGACTGACACAGGCAGTTCCACTTCTGCCTCCCGAGTGGGTGAAATACCACCTAACATGATTTTTTGAGTGGAATGTTATTTTCTTCATAAAATAATTGGTTTTTCCAGAAGGTGAATGTGTCCAATGAATTTAAAATAAGGTTAGAGAATTTAAGTTTGTAAAATTGAATATGATGGATGTGAATTAAAGCCAACTGACTTTTATACACATCACCCTAGTGTAAGTCAATAGGGACTACTGACCATTTCTAATTCGGACACTTGTGTACGTGGAAAAGTTTTCATTCATTTGTTCATCTATAGAATAAGGATAAGTACTCAATAATAACTAATTAACTACAACTGAGCACTTACCTGTACCGGCTGAATGCATTAACGGTGTGGTGAAACAGATAATGTCCTCCCATTTCACAGAACCCAGAGCCGAAGACAATCCCTTTGTACTGAGAATGACATTGGATGCAGCTAAAAGACTATATTTCCAGTCTCCTTTGTGGACATGAATGTGTGACACAGTTCTGGCCAAAAGCAACTGGAGAGGGGACTCACAAAGCACCTTAGGAGGGATGTAGACTCAGCCCTTGACCCTTCCTCCTTTTTGCTGCCTGAAACATGAACTTGTGAATGGAGCTCCCCTTGCTGCACTGTGGTGCGTGGCTAACACCCAAGCCATGCTGGAGGTGGAGCAGGAAGCCACAGCAAGCCTGGGTCGCTAACAGCAACATGGAGCAACCAGGCCAGGTCTTATTGGCCCACCTCTCCCTTTCTTGTTAACATGTATAAAAATAAATGCCTACCTTTTAAGGCTGACCTCAATCCCTAACTGACACGTTATCTCATTTAGTCTTACCCTACACCCTTAATATATGTAAGAGCAAGAAGAATCCAATACTAACAAAATAAACAACAGCAACAAACCTCATCATTGTGCAGCCCAAGAAAGAGGCAAATTCAGTTTCTACTTGTCTCACTCTAGTTACTTACCAAACCACACTGAGGGCCTACGTGAGCAAACTTCAATGTCCTCCTTGCTTTTCACCCTCACCCAGGTCCATCGCCCACCTTTTAATCTCACGTCGCCCTCTCCAGGGTTCCACTTCTTTTCTGGCTCTATCCTCCCCACATCCCTCCTGTAGTTGGACATCGTGCTCTCTGCTTTCCCCCTTGGCAGAGCTGGAATGGAGGGAAACCAGGGTGTAGAAGTTGGTGTCGGGGTCTGGGGGGAAATAAGATCAGGTGAGAGACCCTCTATTTTACTTTATTCTATTTTTGTTTGCATACCAAAGTTCCTTTAGGGATTTGGACTCAGAGTGCAATGATCTCCCACTTCTCCTCACTGTGCCTTTGGGCCCCGTGGAGGGGGGCCTATAAACAGGAGAAACAGACTAAACAAAATACAGAGAAAACAGGAATAAAGAGGGAATCATGAGAGAATGGACTCCTGTTTGTTTTAACATCTATGAAATGAAACGAGAGACTTTACCAATCAGAAAACCACAGTACTCCTGCTTGAGCACCAGGGCCCTACCTTCACGACCTAAGTGCCTCTCAAAGTTCTCAACTAACACCATGATAGTGGACATTAGGTTCATTCCACATATAAACTCGGAAGAGACACAAATGTTCAGATCATAGCGATAACTAAAGATACAAGTCATTTAAGCTGTAATATTTGTTTTAATTCAAAAACATTTTATGATATGAATGGGATTACCATTTGATTTTTTTAAAATTTATTCCCAAATCAACTTAAGTCTAAGAAAAGCTTATGAAAATGCTTTTTATCTTCCCAACCACCAGGCAATAAACAAGATTCTCAAGGTAAGTACAAATTATTTAAGGGGGTCATTTGTTATTAACACTGTACAAATGCACTTTGTATACTCTTTTATACAGATGATAGTATAATGCTGAGTCTTAAAGCTTCTCTTTGACTCTCTTATTTCTAGGAGTTTTGGTGAATAACCCCCTTGTTGATGAAGTTGTTTTCCTAGCCTCCAGGTGTTTCCTCAGAGTAAGGAACGTTACACTGTCAGCTGCTGACCTCTAGTGGTGTCTGTTGTACCTACAATGCAAAGTTGCACCTATTTCCCGCCTTTTTCATAGTTTGGCACGTGTACTGCTGTGCTACAAGAGTTTTCTGTTTATTTGTGACTACATAAAGTGAAATACTTCATTTTATCTTGAAGGTATACATAAATCTAAGTTTCAAATTACATTTACATTATGGTAAATCATTATTCTCACAAGAATTTCACTGAAAAATCACAAAATCAGCTGTAGTTTCTAATTGCAACCACTGGGTGGAAGCAACTGTACTACTGTATGGCCTCAAAATTGGGATCGAGGAAAATCGAACACGACTGAGGTGACCAGCAAAGAGTGTGTACAGTGTGTTGGATGGAATACCAAGTGATGACGAGTCATGTATCCGAAAGTGACAAGGAAGGTGAATTTGAAAATCCAGAAGGACATTTACCTTGAGATTTGGCTGATGAAACAGAAGATTTAGAAGGAACAACAGGGCACTATGACACCCAAGTGCCAGCATGTGAAAATAACGAACTTGCAGGAAATGTGGAAACTAGTTGCACCATCAGGTGTCTAATGCTGCCTCTGAATTTTCAGAAGTTGTGGTAAAGTTATTCTTTACCATTTCTTCTTTCAGAAGTGGTAAAGTTATTCTTAAAGGAATAACTTTACCACTAGAGGTTTTGAGTGCTTACTTCCCTCAGAAATATGTCACAGTGGTAGAGGCCAGAATTATTTTCAAGAGGCTAAATCCAGAGGAGGGCATGAACTTCAAGACTTTCGATGAGCTGTAATTGCAGGACTTGAGGAGGAAAAACTAGATTCCCCCGAGCACAGAATATCAGTAACTCACATCGACCACGTCAAGCCATGTGTTCCTTGAGAGAAACGGTTGGACAAGCTGTACACACACCAGCTGAGGGAACCTTCCTACAGTGAGCACTGGGCAGTGCGGCTGGGCACATCTGGAAGGCATGCTTTGTGCAGTCCAGCTGGAAATCCTCACCCTGCAAAACAGGTGGGTCCGACGTGTGGAACTAGACTCTGTATGAGCAAGAACAAGAACTGTTTCACTGATTATCACAAAAAGTGTGCGGCATTTGATTTATGTAAAACCACACCAAAAAACCATGCCAAAAAATTTTTACTAAAAAACTCTGCAAACATATGTATTCCTTGACTGTATAAATTTAAGATTAAAATTACAAAATTGTATATATAATGCTTTTACTTTTTGATAATCACAAGGTTAGCCTTTCACTGTGAATAAACAATAACTCAGGGGATGGGGGCACTCAGAAAAAAAATCATACATGTATCAAAGCATAAATGATGAAATGTTCAGAGTGGCAATGTATTTTAACAATAACTTTGTTGGAATTCTACATCTATCATTATTGTCAGGGCATACTTATCTGATAAAGCTAAAGAAAACCCAGCAGACTAATGTTTGAACAAGAATAGCACTTTAAAAATTTATATATAAAAAAATTTCAGCAAAATTCCAGAAGTCTGTCCATTTTAGAGCCGTTCTTCTTTCATGTTTAGTCCCAAAAAATCAAACTCCATCCAACAAGTACTGATACTCCAATAATGTCAGAGTTTTTCACTTGTCACTAGTGCCCATGCACCATATACTGCATTCAGAACATCCAAAAATACAGTAATGTTTCATTAACATCAGGCATTCTCAAAGCTCAAATAATAAATTTTAAAAACCAATGACAGTTTAAAAGGAGGGGGTTCTGAATTTTATACATTTTGTTAATCTTTATTCTTACAGAGACTAAAACTTTGGTTTTGTAGACTCAGGAATGCTAAATTGCCTATTGGGTTTAGTAGCTTCCCGCATCAGCTCCTGCAACTGTCCAATCTGTTCATCACGAAAGTCATTAAGTTTTTCTTCTGCGAGGGAGATGCCAAAACATGCTTTCTCAGGTGAATTTTGTCTGTTTTCATTAGTTTGTTGCCATAACACTGCTGCATACATCTAGTAAAAAGAAAAGCAAAAGTAAAGGTCACAGATATAAAGTTAAAAAAAAATTTATATTCACTTTAACGCTGGAGAACTTGAATTCTACTTCCAGGGTACCATTCTTCTCTATCACTAAATGTTCTGCATTTGGTCAGGAAGATAGAAACAATAGTGTTGTGTCTTTACTACTCAGTGGTAATTTTATGTACATATTATTTTTAGTATTTCAACAGTTTCAATAAGCTTTTAGCAAAGTTCTTAACCTGAGAATCACTGGGGAATGGAGCGGTCCATGGTTGGCTTCAGGAGCACGCATAAACCACCCAAACCAGATGCAAAGTTCTGTGCACACAAGTATCAAATATTCAGAGGTGGGCCATGGATCTTATAGGCCTAAAAGTAGGTCTCAAAATACATTAAGTTCATTCCTCTGTCTACAGTTTAAAATTTAAGTTTAAAATACACTAGAGCAAAAGAAACATTTTAAGTATGTCTTTGTCAATAAAAACTCTGTATCTTTTTATGTTGTAATTTTGCTCTTATTCATTATGTTCAGCCTAGCATTCCAAATCTCCTGTCTACACAAGTGCCGCTTTTCTAAACAGACTCTTAATCTAAAATCAATTTTTTAATCAGGCAGGAAGTATTTATGAATTTCAATTCATGAAGTTAAAGGCTATATACACACTCTGGGTAACTTAATGAAATGGTTAACTCTGGATAATACTACAATTCAATCTGGTCAATATGTCTAAGTTACTTATAATTGCTAGATCGCCAGCATCACTAAAGCAACTTTAATGTTAATTCCAAACATTCCAAACCTTCACCTGTATTGAATATAATATCTTCTCCATATTTTTACAAAAACACATTTCATATAACAAAATGAAAACATTGCATGTACCCTAAGCTTTATCAATTCTATTTCTAAATATATGACTCAGAGCAGGGTTTCTCAACCTTGGCACTATTAAGATTTTTTGGATAATTTGAGTAATTCTCTGCTGTGAAGTGGGTGGAACTCTGCTCTTGCATTATAGAATGTTTAGCAGCATCTCTGATCTCTACCCACTTGATGCCAGTAGCACCTCTTCCTTTAGTCTTGATAATCAAAAATGTCTCCAACATTGTCCAATTTGTTCCCTAGCAGGCAAAATCACCCGTGGTTGAGAACTACAATCCTACAGAAACTTTCCAACATGTGAACAAGTAGCATGCCAAGAGTATTCACTGGAAGCATTGCTTATTAAAGTAGAAAACTGTAAACAATCTAGCTGTATTTCAGTAGGAGAAAGGACAACTACACTGAAGTTAATTCCAACAATGGAATAAAGAAGAAATACCAAATAAACTAAATGCTTATGTATTTACATGGATGAATCTCAAACAAAATAAAATAAAATCTGAAAAGCAGGCCTTAAAAAGTTACTCATTTGCATAAATGAAAAAGCTGATAATCAAATTCAAATGGAAATTATAAGGGGTCCTGAATAGACAAATCAATCTTGAATAAGAACAACAAAATTGGATCATTTATACCTCCCAATTTCAAAAATGTACCACAAAGCTACCATAATCAAAACAGTGTGGTAGAGTCCATAAATAAACCTTTATATATTAATGATAAATCCAACTGGTTTTTGACAAAACAATATTTAATAGGGGAAAGAATAACCTCTTCATAGAATGGTGCTGAGAAAATCGGATTTTCACATGCCTAAGAGTCAAGTTGGACCCCTACCTTCACCCATATATAAAAATTAACTAGAAATAGATCTAAAAGCTGACATCATAAAATTCCTAGAATAAAACATATGGGTAAGTTTTTACGATTCTTTTAAGATTCTTAACATATGACACCAAAAGCCTGAGTAGTAAAAGAAAAAAAAAGACTTCAGCAAAATGAAAAACTTGAAAAACTTTGAGCTTTAATTTTGATTTTAATAGGCACTATCAAGAAAGTAAAAAGACAAACTACAGACTCAGAAAAAAAATCTGTGACTCATTTATCTGATAGGGGTTTAGTACCCAAACTACATAAAGAAGTACAACTCAACATCAAAAAGACAACTCAATTACAAAATGGGTTTCTCCAAAGAAGACATACAAATTGTCAAGCACATGAAAAAATACTCAATATCATTTGTTACTAGAGAAATAAAAATCAAAACCACAATAAGATACCACTTCACATTCACGAGGTTGGCTATTATAATTTTAAAAACCCAGAAAATAACAAATATTGGCAAGGATGTGAAAAAATTGGAACCCACATACATTAATGGTGAGAATATAAAATGGTATAGGTACTAAAGAAAAGTCTGGCAGTTCCTCAAAAAACTAAACATAGAATTGCCATGTGACCCACTATATGCACACAAGTACTGGGTGGTCATAAAGTTTGTGTGCAATGTATATATCCAAAATAACTAAAAGCAGGGACAGATACTTGTATATGCATATTCACAACAAAAACATTCATGACAGCCAATATGTGGAAACAACCCAAGTGCACATCAACAGATAACAGAAATGTGGTATAGACCTACAATAGAATATTATTCACCCTTAAAAGGAATGAGTTCTCATCCATGCTACAACATGGGTGAACCTTGAAAACATTGTGCTAAATGAAATATGCCGTACACGACAGCACAAATTTTGTATGCCTCCACTTATAAGAAATATCTAGAATAGACAAGTTTATAAAAACAGAAAGTACAATAGACAATGCCAAGGACTGACAGGGAGGTAGATTGAAGTGTTATCATTTAATAGGCATGGAGTTGCTGTTAAAACAGGAGGTATACATGGTGGTAACAAATAGTCACATTATAAATATAGAAAGCCCTGAATTTTGCATTTAAAAATAAGTAGAAGGGTACATGTGAAATTTACTAGGTGTAGAATATAAATGTTTTAACACAATAACTAAGAAAATGCCGTGAAGGCTATGTTGACCAATTTGATGAAAGCATTTCAGATTGTGTGTAAAACTAGCACATTGTACCCCATGATTGCATTAATGTATGCAGCTACGATTTAATTTAAAAAAAAAAAGTAGAATGAGCCAGGTGCAGTGGTTCATGCCTATAATTCTAGCACTTTGGGAGGTAAGGAGGAAGGATCACTTGAAATCCAGACCAGCCTGAGCAAGAGTGAAACTTCCTATTCTACAAAAAACAGAAAAAATTAGCTGGGTGTGGTGGCACAACCCTATAGTCCTAGCTACTCAGGAGGCTGAGGCAGCAGGATTGCTTGTGGGTAGGAGTTTGACGTTGCTGTGAGCTATGATGACACCACTGCATTTCACACTAGCCTGAACAACAGAGTGAGACCTTGTCTCAAAAAAGAAAAAATGGTTAAAATGATAAATTTTATGTTATATATTTGTACCACAAAAAATAAATATACATGTATATGTTCACTTAAAAAAGTATGCAAGGATTTCAACTTTCATTAATGGTGGAGTAGCTATTATCAAAACAATCTTCCTACAGATAACATTATAAACTCTGGATAAAAGATAACAAAATAACAATCCAAAGGTACTAGAGACCAACCACAGTTTAACATAAATTGAAAAGTAGTTGACTTTTTGGAGGGCAGCAGAGAGAACTGGGTTAGAGTCTCATTTTTATAGCTTTTTGTCTGAAGGAAGATCTCAGTTGGTGCTGAGGGGTGCCTAGAATTTGGACAGTAGCCTGCAATGTCACTGACTGAGGAATCAGAAGGCAATATGGGACAAACACAAGTATTGGAAACTGAGATGGGGAAATTCCCAGAAAAAATATATCTTGAGTATAAAAACTGTCACCAACAAACTCCAAAACCCTCGCTCTAAGCCTGCCTTGCACCACCCATGACCTAATAGTCTTTGTCCCATGTACTCGCAAATGTTCCTCTCCTGAAGGACACAAAAAATATGGCCAAAAA